AGCTACTCTGCGTTTTCTTTCTCATTTTCCTGGTTTAGCCGAGTTTTCGTCGAGCGGCCAAAATTCGCGCCCAGTCCTGGGCTCCAAGTTAAGCCACAGTGACTCTACACGTTGCCACGGGAGCTCCACAACATGCATAAAAACCACCTCTCCGTGTCATTTGTAATCATAGGAATATAATAAAGATCTAAGTAGCATAAGTAAGTACCTTCAGAATTAATGGAGTGTAAAATGAAAAGAATCAATACGTGGTGGAGACACGAGGCAGGTATATGGAAAAAAAACATTGAGCACTTTTACTGAAATTTTGAGTAGATAAGCATTACAATTAACTGGGCAAAGAGATAGACAGTAGAAAATTCTTCGATTTCTTTTTGCATTAGGTTTGATTATATGGATGACATCCGCGCGTGCATGAATTTTTTACCGTTTCCCAAAAAAGGTTTCAACCAAACTGTAAATCGTACAAAACTGTTGCAAAATGAGCAAATATGTACCGTTAGTTGCAAAAAAATATATTGGGAAACGATACCAATGTCGCAGAATGCAAGAAATCAAAGGAAAAAGACGAAAATGTAACGAAATGAATTTGAAGAGTAGATTATTCGCCATACCATACTCTACGCCATTTGTCCAGCCTCCAAAATCACGTAGATTTCATTATGAAAGCAACTTTTTTTTTGCTTTATTCGCACGCTCGCATCAGTTTTGGGGTTCCCAGAGGAGGCAATTCATAAAATCAAATCAACATGGCCTTATGTTGAATCTAATCTTTCTGTGCACCAAAGGTATACTACCTTGTAATTCCACTGTGTACCTTCTAATCGGCTATCAATAAATTATGCATGGAATAGGTTTGCGCACTCCCAACCCACTTTAAAATATTAAAATAATGTTTTCACACAGAAGTCGGCGCGTGTGCGTCAACTTTCTTCATATTTATGGTTTATTGTGTGTTATGTTTTCAGATTGCTACTACATTCTATAGAATATACCAGTAACTGGTATACAAGCCAAAAATAGCACATAATACGCTGAAAGAAGGCAGCGAAGCCTCGAGGACGGCGACCTTCTAGACGTCCTTGGAAGTACGTCGGCTTTACGGTTTTCTACTAAGTATTCATGGCAGGGCGTGTTTACGACTACATCAAGCTTCTACAAAAGACTTGGTGTGTTTAAGCTGTATGTATTTACCTTGATGTAACCATAACAAAACTGATGTCAGGGACATTTGTATAGAACCTTACAAAGTTACATTTTTCATCTGCACGTGGTATGTGTGTGTGTTTGT